GCAGCCCCCACTCCTGCCTCACAAGGGGAGCTTCTTCCTCTGAGCCAGAGCTGGAGTCTGTGGCCCTGGGGAGTACTGGGAAAGGAGTCCCCTCATGCTGGTGGCCCCAAGTCCGCCAAGGCCTGGCTTGCTCTGGAAAGAACAAGGCTTTTTGTGGCAGCCAGGGAAACTGAGGGGAGGCCAGACACTGAACACCAGGTGGGCTGCAGCTATCTGCAGTGCGCTGTCTCTGGTCCTGAGTTCCAGTCCTGGGTCTGTGTAACCTGGCTGGTCACTGTCTCTAAGCTTCAAGGACTAATGAAAATACCTATCGGCCCTTTCCCATGGAGCTGTGGTGTATGTTGAGAGAGCTGATATACCGTGAAAGAGCTTTATAACCTTATGATGCACGAAAAGTGCAAATTCTTAATATTTTATTCAAAAAGCAATAGAAACGGATTTTTATGAACAGACAACAGACATGTGGGGTTGATGGAGAGCAAGACCCAAGTTGGGGATGGGTGGGGGTGGGGGAGCTGAATTATAGGGAGAAAGGCAGGACCTCAGGGAGGGAGTGCTGCGTCCACCCCTCCTGGATTGTCCATTTATTTCAGGAACCTACTGCTTGCTGACTTAGAGCCAGTTTGGGGAGCAGCAGCAGCTCCCAACTGAAAACAGACCATTTCTGATAGAAAGTAACCCCTAGAATTGCTGCACCCAAGATGGTGCTTGTCCAGTGGGAGGGAGCTCCACGCTTCTACATGACCCAGACCCAGGCCCTGCCATGGCCTTGGCGGCAGCGATGACTCGATCTGATCTGGCCATTCCGACCTGCCGTGAGCTGGTCACTCAAGCTTGTCTGGTCCAGAAGGCCGGAGAGGAAAGGGGGAAAGTTGGGGGTGGTAGGGATGTTGTCTATTGTTTGTCTGTCAAATGCCTGGGGACAATGGGAATCTCTGGAGGGTGGGTCAGGACAAGGAGATGGGTACAGAATGAGTGAAAAGAGTTCGAGGAGGAGAGAATGATTTATCTTGTATGTCCAGAAGACAGAAGCCCTTGTTGATCATGGTCAGACGTCAAAATTCTCTTGGCAATTTGCTAACTGGATCGGAACATGCTATACATACTAGAGCTGAAGCATTGTGGCTTCACTAGATCGCGAGACCTGGGGGAGGACACGGAGTGCAAAGAGAAGGGAGTGGGACTGGATGTGTGCATATAGGGTGTCAGTGGGGAACAAAATCTCAGGGTCAGAGGGTAACCGGATGACCTTCAGCAGTGATCACATGCTGTGGCCCCACAGCAAAACAAACTGAGCCCATTGGTGGTCCATACATGGAGGGCTGGAGGAGTGTGCACAAAGCCAGGGAGCCCCACCCCCACCCACTCCCACCAGCTCTACAAGGGCAGGAAGGTTTCAGGAGCCGGGTGGACAAGAAGGTTAATGAGTGACTTAGCACTGCAGTCTACTTTTGAATGGAAGTGAGCAGATAACAGAAATTGTCTAACATTGAATTAAAAAAACATGGAATGAACATCCCTCCCCTTAAGCCAGAAGAGAAACACATTAACAAGACAAGCGTAAGAATTTTCTTTTTCCAAGAGTTCAGGGGAGTGCCAGTGTGTCCCTCTTTGTAGGAGGTAAGGCTGGAGCAGAGTCCCCGAGCTGAGAGGAGGAGGGAGGCTAGTCCATCCCGGGAGTCCCTGGCCAGGTCGGAGGTTCCCAACCCTGAAGGCACATTGGCAATGCCCAGGGGATGCAAGCAAACTTATTGCGCTTTCTATGTGGCCTCTGAGGGAGGAAGGGAGAGGAGGACTTGTCGGCTCTGCCAGCCCGCTGAGGCAGCCCCATGGGGTTTGAAGATGTGTAAACATCACCCCTATGAATGTTTTACCAAACTTGCCACAGGGAATGACTGTGAAAACATCACAGGGACCACAAGCTCATAGGACAGGAGGCTGCAAAATGTTATCAGCTAGATCAGCCACCGAGGATGCGTGTGCAAGCTAAGTCCTTAGCTGTGATATTTAAACCTTGCTTTATCGCCTTAAGTGAGGAAGATATCTTTGGGCAAGGGAATGTGAGGAACTGGCCATGGAGCTCGAAGAATAAAAGCAAATGAAGAAAACTACTATTATCTTAAAAAAAGAAAACTATTATTTTATTTAATGTCTAGGGCCCGTCGCACACAAATAGTCATGTGGGCAGCTCCTCCCTCCCAATTGAATCAGCTGGTCTGTGAGACCTGGCAAGGGTGCTAATGTACAGCTCCTTTGAGCACTGGTTTGGATGTGAGCCAGCAAATCCTTAATCCTGCCCTGTACTAGGACCCTGGGAAGATTATCAAGGAAAGCAGAACTGCTGGACCACACTGCAGACGACTCTGATTCGCTTCTCTGGGATAAGACCCAGTGTTAGCATTTTCTAAAGCTTCCCAGGTAAGTCCAGAGGTACTAGGGTTGAAAGCTCAAAGGGGTGGGGAAAAAAACAACGTAGGCTTGAGTGGTCTTTCTGTTGCATTCCTGCTGTTGACTTTCAAACTATCTATTTCGGTCTCAGACCTCCCCTGTCTATGTCTGTGAAGAGATACAACAATTTTTCCTACCTGATTATCATCACAATTATGATAAAGGGCTTGAATTGTAGATTTCCTGGTTCACCTATCAGAGGTGGATCTTTCGGGTCAGGCCAGCTTATGCTATAGGAAGAACCTGAAAGGCTTGTCTTCCATCAACCTTACGAGCTGTCAGAGGACACCGACTGTCTCCTTCCCTACATTCCCTGGGTCCAAGTGGCTTGCACAGAGGCCTCGGGCTAGTTTCAGGGGGAGAGCTCGAGATGTGGGGTTAGCTCAAAGATTATACTTCCCAGGGAGCTTGAAATCCATCTCTCCTCTTCATTAGACATAGAAGTGGACAGACTTGTTCTGGGCTACCTGGTGGTGGTGGTCTGGGGACAACTGAAAATTTGACTAGTGGTCACTTCAGTATGATCAATAATCACTTTTAACCCTTTACAAAATGACGTTTCAGGCTACGCACAGTGAACATCTCCAGCGAAGATGACCTCTGCCACCGTTAGCCTGGGGGCCACCATCTTCTGCCTCTTGACCTGGGCTAGCCTGGCTGCCAGTGATAGGGTGTACATCCACCCCTTCCACCTCCTCACCTACAACAAGAGCAGCTGTGAGGAGCTGGAGAAAGCCCATGAAGAGGTACCACCAGACCCGACCTTTGCGCCCGTTCCAATTCAGGCCAAGACATCCCCTGTGGATGAGGAGGCCCTGCGGGTCCAGCTGGCCTCGGCAGTCGAGAACCTGGAGGAGACTGACAGGCTGAGGGCCCTGGGGGTGGGCACACTGATCAACTTGAAGGGCCTCCACATGTACAAACAGCTGAGCAAGACATGGCACACAGCCCATGTGCTGTCCCCAGTGGCTCTCTTTGGCACTCTGGCCTCTTTCTACCTGGGGGCCTTGGACTCCACCGCCAGCAAATTACAGACTTTCCTGGGTGTCCCAGAGGCCCAGAGCTGCACTTCCCGACTGGATGGACAGAAGGTCTTCTCTGCTCTGCGGACCATCCAGGGCTTTCTTGTGGCCCAGGATGAGGAGCAGGGTGATCCCCGGGTGCTCCTGTCCACACTCGTGGGCCTGTTCACAGCTCCCAGCCTGCTGCTAAAGCAACCCTTTGTTCAGGGCCTGGCGCCGTTTGCACCTGTCACCCTTCCACGTTCTCTAGATTTGTCCACAGACCTGGATCTGGCTGCTGAGAAGATCAATAGGTTCATCCGGGCTGTGACAGGATGGAAAATGAGCATCCCCCTGGCAGACATCCGCCCAGACAGCACCCTGCTTTTCAACACCTTAGTCCACTTCCAAGGTAAGGTGCCCCCTGGGATGTGCTCCAGCTCCAAGCGGGTGAGTGTGTAGGGTGATCATTCTCTACCCTTATGGGCCCTGTGGTAAGCGCTGCCACCGCACTAAGCAGGGTCAGGGCTCCGAGATGGGGACGTGGGTGGGAGGGAAGGACAGAAGAGAGGAGGGGCTGCCCTGGTGGGACTCTTGAATCTAAGGATTCAAAGGATCCAGTGATTGAGCATCTACCAACCTTCCAACCAAAAAAAAAAAAAGACAAAAACCAAACCAGCTGCTGTGGAGTAGATCGTGATTCATGGCGACTCCATGTGTGTCCAAGTTCTAGGCCAGTGTTCCACAGGCTTTGGGATGGCCAGTTTTTCAGATGTAGATTGCTGGGCACTCTTCTGAGGTACCTCTGATGACCTTGAACTGCCAAGCTTTGACGAAGCACCCGGGTATTTAACCATTTTTACCACCCTATTGTGGTAGCCACTTGACTTTCCTAATTTCATTATTACGTATCGATGCAGTGAAGAGTCAGCATTGCCTTTTCTTTCTGATGAAGAACGAGAGCCAGAGAGACACAGAGGGCCTTGTGCACGATCCTGTGGCCACATCTCCTGGCCTCACCCTCAGAAGGGAAGGGTTTGTGCTCCTTAGGAAGAATGAGGCCTCAGCTCCCTGTCTCCTGCAGAAATGGCTCGTGTGCATAGTCAAAGCACTTTCAAACTGGGAGGAGGTATTTTGAAAGAAACTGCTACAAAGAGTGCCTATTCATTGGACAAATGACTGCTGAGACTTTGCTCTCTAGAAGGCTCTGAGCCTGATGTGGGAAAACCCTGCAGGTCCTGCCCCCGTGCTGCCTGCCAAAGTGCAGAGGGAGGGAGGGCATGTGGACAAATAACAGGATTGCAAGAGTTCTAGAAAGGCACCCTGAAGTGTTAAGAGCCTCTAGGAAGAGGGAGCATTCTGGGGTACAGCAGATGTCTCGTTGGGGTTCCCAGGACCCAGACTGTGGCCAGGAGAAAGGGTCTCCCAGGCAGCAGGGTTAGGAGTGTAGGACTCCAAGTTCAAGGCAAGGACAGAGAACAGTGAGTAGCTTGTTTGAGCAGCACATGTAATCGAGATGGCACCAGGGGAGGGCTGGATGGGAAATCTGGCTTGGGCCAGATTTTGAGAGCCTTTGACACTTGAAGAGGCTCCTGCTTTGGAGTCCGTTGGTGGATGGGCAGTTGAGCAGAACAAAGTGATTCTCCATGGTCACCTTGGCAGCCTGCATGGTGGGGATTGGAGGCCAGGAGGGCAGCCTGAAAGTTGTGCAAGAGTCCAGGCAAATTGTACCGGGGACATGCACTCCGGGAGTGGCTCTCTGAGTCCACAGGCACGGGTCGCGGGGTGAGGAAGGGACACGCTTGTGGGACAGTGATGAGGCCGACGCAAAGATGAGCAAGCCTGGGGGAGACAGAGAAACACCGGCAGCTGGGACAGGACTGTGGAGACACAAAAGCAAAGTTAAAAAACCCCAAGCGAAACCCATTGCCCTCGCGCTGTCCATTGGACAGCCTCATCTTTCTCTCACAATTGGCAAGTGCAGGGGTCAGCAAACTGCTGTTCTTTCTGTCCATCCTTGTGGCTCCGAAATAAAATGGAAAAACATTAAAGGATATGATTCCGATCATGGGGATTTTATTTGTTTGTAAAAATATATTCACGGCGCTCGAATCATTGAAGTTGTTGTGAGGGACAGGATGGGCTCGTCCACCCCAAAGTTTGCTGACACCGGGGCTAGTGAATTTGGACCACGGATACCTAAACTACCACGCCACTGGAGCTCCCCAGAGTCTGGGTAGAGCATGCTCATCGGCCACAGTGAGAGTGTCCCTGCAGACACTGTATCAGCAGGCGGAAGAGACCCCAGCCTCCTGGGTCCGGGTGAGAGAAGACATACTTGGCTATTGCTGATGGGCTGTAAAGGCACCATACCTCCTGTGAGGGTTTTGTGCGTGTTGGGCTTAACCACCCTTCAGAAGTGCCCCAGGAAGAGGGGGAGGCAGTGAAGATGTGGGCCCCCAGGAAGCCAAGGTGAAGGCCTAATACTTGGGAAAGAATCTCATTTCTGAAGCTGCCAACCCACCGGAGTCTGACTACCGATCTGGCCCAGAACAGGCAGAGGCGGGAAGCGAAATGTGGGCACTTGCAGACCCCACGTAGGATGCAGCTCACCTTCACCTCATTTCCACCTGCCAATTGTGCCCAGCTTCCGAACCACCCCTGCCTCCACTCTGTCCAGTGGGAATCGGAATGCCCTTTACCCTCCACACGGTTCCCATTCATGAAAACGAGCAGGTGTCCTCGGGGCACTGTGAGCCAGGGTTGACTTGATGGCAGTGAGTGGTTCGGGCAATGCTGTCCCATGAAAATGGCCTTGGTGACCCTCTGGGTGTCCTTAATGAGCACAGACGTGGGTGGGAGTGGGGGCAGGTAAAGGCCCCAGAAACCAGTGCCCACAGTCCATACATCCTGTCATCCCAAGGTCCATGATGTCATTTGACTGAACCTTGGCACTGGACTTAACCTGGTGAGGTGCGCTTCGTGCTCGGAGGAGGTGGAGAGGGTGGCTGCCTCCTTCAGAGATGCTTCGCTGTTAGGTACTGCAAGTTTTGTTGGGGGCGAGACATTTAGTGCTCTCTCCCTTTAGACTGAAAGCCTCCTCAGGCCCAGGTGGGGTGAGGAGGGACGTGGCACCTTCAGAACACTCAAGATGAGATCATGTCAGGACTGCCACTCTTACCGCACAACCCCCTCCCTGAAGATGCAGACAGACACCTGTCCTGCTCCATCCCCCCCGAGGGACTTGCCCTCCTGACTCCTCCCTCCTTTCACTTTGGAGAGCTCTGTGCCCAGCTGGTCTCTGCTGGCTTGGACAACATCCCCATGGCCTTCCGGAAGCCCTCCAGCAAGGCCCTTCGCAGAGGATGGCACATGGTAGGAGGAGGGCATGGTTGGGATCTGGCTCGGACTGCAGGAACAAGGAGACCCTAGCAAGCAGAGACCACAAGACTGCTGGTTTATTCCCCCTGAGCCAGAAAGCCCTTGTTCCTCCACGGTGACAGAACTCAGGCTCCGGCTCTCTCATCTACCAGCATAGCTCTGTGTGTGCCCCCATGCCTCTTTGAGGTTCAGCACACGTCTGGCCTCTAATCTAACACCATGTCCCACTGACACCCCTAGCGGCAAGGGTGTGGAGAAGTGGCATCCTTATTCCGGCTGTAAGGATGGAGCAGGGCACGTACAGGGACAGCAGCCACGTCACAGCTGTGCTGCGCACAGTCACACAGCCTCGGAGCTTTGTTGGCCTGTGTCTAGCTGGGTAAGGTCCTTCAGTGTCATGGGCCATGGTTTCCTCTGCCAGGCTTAGAGAAGAAGGTAGATGTAAAGCCTCCGGTCCAGTGCCTGGCATTCCATAAGTGGCAGTCATTTTATTGAGTTCCAGACGGCTAGGCTTTAGGGTAGGAAATTTGGAAATGCACTGGGATGATGTGCTGTGCTGAGGAACATGCAGCACACCTGGTTGGCTTTGGGGAAGAGAGGGAGAGGCTGGGAGAGTTATGGGATCCTAGTATGGCCTTCTGGTATCTTCTGTGAATGGCTGCCTTCTTCAGAGGCACCTGTCTTTCTCTCTGGGAGACTCAGCTGGATGTCCCTTGGGACAGGGATGAGTGAGTTTGCCTGTCCCCCTTAGCACTGAGCTCACCCCTGCTCACCTGCACTGCCCTTCCCCAGCAGGTACTGCTTCTCGGGAGCCTGCTCACCGCTAACTCTACCCTTTCCTGTCCTGTCTGGGTTTACAGGGACGATGAAAGGGTTCTCCCTGCTGCCAGAGCCCCAGGAGTTCTGGGTGGATAACGCCACCACAGTGTCTGTGCCAATGCTGTCGGGCACTGGCACCTTCCAGCACTGGACTGACGTCAAGAACAACTTCTCAGTGACCCGGGTGCCTCTCAGCAAGAATGCTGACCTGCTGCTGATCCAGCCCCAGCACACCGCAGACCTGGAGAAGGTTGAGGCCCATGCTCTCCAGCTTGACTTCCTGACCCGCAAGAAGAATCTGGCTCCTCGGTATGACTGCCTGGAAATGCAGGTCACCCCCATGGAAAGTGGGAGACCACGTCACACCTTTTGCAAGGAGGGCGGGCAGGGCGCTGGGCCAGCCAGATAGCGTCGGGCACTGACACAGAGTACCCCAGCTTGTCCAGAGCAGGCTTGTGGGTTCACTTCCCCACCCATCCATCCTATCTACCTGCTCACTTACGCTCCCACCTCCCCACCACGCATCCAGCCACCCACCCACCCATCATTGATGTCTCTCTCAATGTATTTTCTTTTTCTGGCTGCAGGTGAGGGGAACGGAAGGAAGGGTTCATTTTTCTGTGCTGATCGTGACCCCCTGCTTGGAAGGGAACAGAGACGTACATTCTCTCTCCTTCGTCCAAGTTGTCGCCACGCGCTCCCTCCCCCCACTGCCAGCC